TGACCTGCGAGCGCCGAACAGACGAGTAAGGAAGGAGGCGGATGAGCTGGAGGAGGAGGAGGAGGAGGAATGGGAGAGGTAGATGTGTAGGTAGGCCCGCAGGGCGAGGAAGAAGATGAGGTGTGCTGGGAGGAGATGAAGAAGGACGAGAAGTACCTGACCGTGTGTCTTGTAGCAATCTTTGTCTGATAATGTGTCGCAGCAGCCAGTTGTTCGAGATGAGAGTCAGGTGATGGGAGAGAGAGAAGTGCGTGTTGCGTCAAGATGATGCGCGATGCGGGATGATTGAGGATGCAGCAGCGCCTCACATCCGTGCTCAATCACGACCAGCTTGTATGCGGCACTGATTGTGGGTGAAGCGAAGTTGTGAGCATAAGGCAGAGGACCTTTTGATGTTGTAGAAGCTGAGTAAATCCATCTTACACGATGTACGTCAAGCTGATTCAAAGCGGGCGAGCTGAGAGTCAGCATGATGATAGTCTTGGGCGACATGGCAGGACATGCATCCCCACAGCGACTCACAGAATGATGGGCACAACTTTGCCTATCAAATTGTTGAGCCTCCACTTTCGAAGTAGGCGCTTCGGATTGCATTTCCCTTCAGTGCTGGACATCTCTGCAACGCGTCCGTGTCCTCTCTCTCTGAGAGAAGAACAGCAAGAACAGCGATGGATTTGCACAGCAGCGCTCAGCTAGAATTTTGATCGGCGAGGCGTACTACTGCGTGCTCAGATCCCCTTGTCGGCTTGTCAGTTGTGCGCCAATGGAAGATGAGCAGCGTCGCCGGATCAGAGTTGTATGGGTGAGACATTCCATCATGAACCACACTCTGACCGAAATCACATGCGTTTAACATGAAGCGCTCGCACAGCCACACTTTGGGCGCCACGTGATTTCAAGATTACGCCACGGCCCCCCCGGCGGCCGCTTTCGTTTTCCGCGTCACGTGCAAATCTGCGCGTGAATAAATTTTGGAAGGTCCGGCGGCCATACGGTACGGTACGTGATGAAGCAGCTTCGCGCTGCTCTGCTCTCTCTCTCTCTCTCTTGCGCTCCCTGCTCTATGCTGCGAGGAGAGCGTGCCCTGCACACCTTGCTACGTTCAACATCTTTCCATTCCGCAAGCCTCTCAACCGTTTCATCATAATCTCGAATTAGACTCCCATTCCACTCGTCTCGACAACACGCACGTGTCTACTGCTCGATCGCCACGATGTCGCTAAGCAGTGCCAGCCCATCAGGCTCAGGCAAGAAGCAATCCCGCAAGTCCTCCTCCAAATCTCGGCCCGCTTCTTCCCTCGCCTCTCTCGCATCACCCATCGCAGCTTCATCACCATCCACGCTCTCGTCTTTCAGCTCAGATGGACAGTCATTGGCGCTGCTCAGTCAAGCTTTGGATAGGCATCGATTGAGGATCTACGACTGCAATGCTCAAGAAGCGGGAGAAGGTGCGAGATTAAAAGCGGATCATGTGCTGCCTAGCGGAAGAGTCGTTTGCATAGCTTGGGGAGGCTTGCCTGTCGCTGATACCAATGGTCAGGCGGCGACCATCGATGCGCCATCAGATGCTGTTGGCGCAAGCAAGAAGAAGCGAAGGAAGAGCGCGAATGCGAATGGAAATGTCGACAGCCTCCCCGCTACCACCAACGCCCCCTCTCCTCGGTCGCAGAGCGTTGTAGCATTGGGTCTGCAGGATGGCAGCATTCAGCTGTTCTCACCTTCTCTGGGCAAAGTCGTGCGCGTCCTCAACGATGCAGCACCTTCTTCCGCGAGCGATAGAGCCGTCAGATCTCTGCTCTTCGCAGAGCAAGGCAGCGTCCCCGTACTGCATGCTGCTTGTGCAGACTCGCTTGTTCGAACTTGGTCATTGGCCCCCAATGCGGGCAAGGCTGGCACATCTTCACCTCAGAGAACGCCGGTCCAAGACGTAGCGGCGCTTGCCTCGGGCCAAGACAAATCCATCTTGGCGGCTTCTCACAACATCACTCGACTGGAAGTAGTCGGAGTCGGTGGTGCGCAAGGCTCAGAGGCACGCGCTCCCATTTACAAGGCCTCCAAGACATGGACAGGGCACGCCAGCAGCATCACACACCTCGTGCCGCTGTTCATCCAAGAGCAAGCCTTCATCTCTGCTGCAGAAGGTGATCGAGTGTTGACGCTGTGGGGCAGCTCAGCTCGACCCCTCGCATCCCTGCCGCTCGAATCCGCAGTGCGTCGCGTCGACTCTTTCAGCTCGGACGCATCGACCGATCTGATCCTGTCCATCACGGTAGCTGGGACTGCGGCCATCCATCACGTTCCTTCTTCCATCGACCCTGCGGCAAAAAAGGTGCAGAGTCTGGAAAAAGCTTCGAGCGTCGTGCTGAGGACTGGAAAGAACAAAGAGGTGACGCCTTTGCTGGACGCACATGTGCACCGGGGCATTTTGAGCGTTGCTGCCTTGCTGCACGGCAGCAAGCTCGTCGTCGAGAGGATGGTGAGTGATCCACAGCGCGGTATCGAAGGCTCGTGCCGGGTTCGATCTGCAACTCGGGTCTCACTGGCTCACCCTCCCGCCCATTTTCCTTCTCCGGCCCGCAGTCCTTGCTTGACGAAACGGGCAAGCTGCCGAAAGAAATTTCACTTGTCAGATCAGGCTCAGGCGGCCTTCTTTCGCAAGGAGACACTGAGCTGGGCGAAGGCGCTGCAGCGGCTCAGCGTTACAAGGGCACAGGTCATGCGCCCACAGCAAACACTTCTGGAAATCTCAGCACAGGAGAGCTGCTGGGATCCAACAGTGCGTCAGGATTGATTCCTGATGCTGACGTTGCTGCACCGAAGCGTTTCGTGGATGAGCAGGCTGATCTGGACGCCCAAGTTGATGCTGATGCTGCCGAACCGACCCTTGCTGCTCGACTCAAAAGCCTCGGCGTTGGTGCGTCTGCTAAGGGTTTTGCCGATGTCAAGCAATCGAAACGAAGCGGCAGCGCGGGCACAGGCGCAGCGGCGGAGGAAGACGAATCCGAAGCGGAGGCGGATGACGCAGCATATTTGGCACAAAAGGCCCCTCTAGAATCCGGCGGCTCGCTAGCACAAACTCTGATACAGGCTCTTCACTCGGACGACTCGGCCATGTTGTCATCCTGCCTGGCGCATAGCGATCCTGGAATGATTAGAGAGACGGTGAGAAGGATCAGCGGACCGATTGCTGTCAAGTTGCTTGAAGCTGCCGTTTCTACCATGTCGGCGGGCCAGAGGAGCAAAGGTGCTATCGGAAGCCAGAGGGCTAGAGGCTTGATCGAGTGGATCAAAGCTGCGTTGACTGCACATGCGGGCTACCTGATGTCTGTGAGTCCGTCACTCCTTTCTCGCGCGGCGAAGGGACACCGTATGCTGACGAAGTGTGCCTGCTACCCCGTCTCTGGACGATTGTGGCAAAAAGCTACCGGACCTTGTAAATCGACTTGCTGTTTTGCACGCTACTCTCTCGCGCAGGATCTCCTCGCACGAGCGTCTCTTGGCCCTATCTGGCAGATTGGAATTGGTGCTGGCCCAGATCGAGTTCCGAACCGCATATACCGCGCAACAAGCTGCGCAGAGGCAGGTTCAAGGCGTGAGCTCGAAGCGCGGCAAGGGAGCTCGAGGAACGGACGAGACGAAAGAGAAGAGGGCGGCTTATGTATGGAAAGAAGGAGATAGCGATGAGGATGAGGAAGAAGAGGAAGAGGAAGAGGAAGAGGAAATGGATGTGGACGAAGATGTTGATGAGGACGAGGAGGAGTCGTCAGATAGCGAAGGTGATGAGCCAGAGACGTTGAATGCTGCTCGCACAAACGCTTTTGGAGCAGATTCGGACGATGAGGACGTAGAGGTGATCAGACCTCAACGAAGACAGTCAAATTCTGCCAGGAAAGCGCTTGATAGCGACCAAGAGGACTCGGACGGCGAGGAGGAGGAAGAAGATGACGATGATGTTTCGAGAGTCAGCAGCAGGAGAGGAGGAGCGACTTCAGCAGAGAGTGACGAGGAAGGGGAATACGAGGATGAAAGTATGGGAGAAGTGGGACTTGCGGGGACTGCCAAAGCTTCTAACAAGAAATCGTCCATGACTGAGAAGGATGACAGTGCTTCAGAAGATGCAGCTGAAGAGGCAGAGGACAGCGAAGATGATGATGACGAAGAAGAAGATGAAGAAGAAGATGATGATGATGATGAAAGCGAGGAGGAAGACGATTCAGAAGAAGTCGTGAGTCACCACTTCTCTCTTATTTTTTTTTTCTGCCTTCAACCCACTCACTGATGTTCCTGTGCGACATTCTTTCATTCAGTCTGACGAAGAGGAGGACGATTCAGACGCAGAGGGCGAAAGAGGATTGATCGATGATGAAGCGGAAGAAGCTTCGGACGATGAGGAAGAGGAAGAAAGTGATTGAAGTGGGTTCACTCTGACGCTCGATCTCGCATCTTTGCCTCCTCGAGCGCTTCTTTGCCCAAGCCATCACGCATGCAATCCTCTGTGGCTCATCTGTCCCCACACTCGCCTTCCCTATCGCTACTTGACAACTTCTTTTATTTGCTCACATCTTCTGCACAAGATGCAATTGGTGGATAGTGCTCGCCGCGAAGAGTAGTGCAATGGCAAACAGCGTCTCACAAGCAAGGACGATGCGCAGGAGCCTCGTATCAAAACACCTTGATCGTTTTCATGGGGTATTGCTTTGATCCAGTGCACAGTCGTGATCGTCAAGGATGCAGATGAGGCTAAGCGTGGTGTAGGGTTGTCAAGCAGCTGGCGGAAGGAAGGTAGGAAAGGAGGGGCATGAAGAGGTGCCAGGCTACGCGTGGGTGTACAAGCCGCCGCACGATCACCGACGCATCCTGATTGGCAAGCTGCGGCTAGAAATTTTGATGTCCTTGAGCCGATGAGTAGCGCCGCTTCGAATTGGGGTCAAAGGAAGGCAGTATGCCAAACGCATCGTCCGGATTGCTCATATTAGGACTCGGCAGCAACGCTCCCGGCACAAGGCCGCTGCCATACGCTCCGCCGGCGTGACTGTGGCTCGAGCCTCCGCTTCCACCCTGTCCGGGCAGGAGTGCCATGGAGTGCCGCTGGGTGGAAGCGGTGCTGCCTCCACTTCCTTGATATTGCGTGGGCTTCAAAGCAGGCATGAGCTGGGCGATGCCAGTATCGTAAGGGTCGAAAGACATGCCTGCAGCTCCGTAGGTCTGGCCTGGCGGCTGATGGGCACTCGACGAAGACTGGAACCTGCTTGCTTGGGCATGCGCGGACGAAGGACTCGCATAAGCAGCCGGCGGCGGCTGAGCAATAGGCAGAGAGGAGCCTCCACTCGGAGATGCTAGGGCTGAAAGCGAGCTGCCCCCCGCTCCGTGTTGGTCGTGGGGATTCACCAACCTGCGATCTTGTCCGTCCACGACGACAGAGAACCCTGAACCTCCCTGATGCGAAGGTAGGTAGCCGCCTGCTGAGCCTTGGAGAGGCGAATTGCCTCGCCATTGCTGCTGCGCAGCGTCCAAAGGTTGGTACTGAGATGCTCCTCGAAGCTTGCCGCCTCCTGCTGCTCCGGTCCCACCGGGACTCATCCCTACAAGACCATTCTGCTGAAGATGCGGCTGTTGCCGGCGATCCCAATCTCTCGAGTCGACCGGTGTCAGGGACTGCCTTGTTGATCCAAGCGCGACAGAGCCAGAGAGGGGCGACGCTTCCAGGCCCATCTTTGCCAGCTGCGGAGGCACTGCATCCATGCGCGTCATCGTATTCGATCGACTTCGATTCTGGATCGTAGATCCGGACCCGCTTGGCGAGACAAAGCCTTGTGGTGAAGATGCGGCTTGATGCGCGTGTGCCAATGCGCTGGCTTGCAGCTGTTGCTGGTGCGCTTGGGCTTTGACCGCAGCTTTGGCCTGGGCCTGCGCTTGAGCTTGCGCTTGCGCAGTGGCATCTTGCACGTAGGGGTTGTTCGAAGCAGATGGCAGTGTCTGGCGCGCGTGGTGTGCCGAGTTGTATGCTTGCTGTTGCGCCAGATGCTGATTGTACGCCGCAGCATCTTGGTATGCCCGTCCGGAAGATTGTGCAGTGGTCTGCGGCAGGCCGCCGTAGGGATGTTTGGCTGAATCGTTCGAAGGTGAGGACGCCTTTGACTTGAGGGACGACGTTGGACTCAGTGGTGTTGCAGGCGGCTTGAACGGCTTCAGGAACCTTTCTCCGGTGATGAAAGGATGCAATTTGGCCTGCTGCGGCGTCCACCTTTGGGCTGGATCCATGCTCAGCAATCCCGTGACAAAGTCAATGAAGGACGTCCGGTTTGCCATTTCTGGTGGCGAAACCACAGCGTATCAGTACAAATTTTGGCGTTTGCGACCAGCAAGCGGCTTCGACTCACCCTTTTGGACGTCAGCTGGCTTACCGCTCTTTCGTGCCATCGGATAAGTCTTGACAATGTCCGGTAGCGTGGTAGCTTGAAAGTACCGCTTCGAGGGCTGCTCAGGGGGGTTCGGATTCCGCTCCTTTTGATACTGGTCTATTGATTTCAATCGATAGCTTTTGCGACCCCATTCGTCTTGGGCGATGTTGAAAAACTCGCTCGTTTGCTTGCCTTGGTCCAGCATGTACGATGGCGGCAATCTGAAGGAAGAGTGTCGCCTGTCAGTATAACGCAATTTCCGCAGCCTTGAGTCCATGCTGGAAAGGCGGACGACTTACCCTAGCATCTCGACAATCCGAGTGATCTGGTTGTATTCCGAGGTTCCAGGAAACAAGGGCAAGCCGAGGAAGAGCTCCACAGCAATGCACCCCAATGACCACATATCTATCATCGACGAGTACGGCAGGCCAAGCAAGACCTCGGGAGACCTGTAAAAGCGCGACTGGATGTACGTGTACACCGTCTGCTTCTCGTGACACGCAGAACCAAAATCAACCAGCTTGATGGACGGCGTTTGCAGGCTGAAGACCAAACGCAATCGCAAGTCAGCAGAAAGACTTTGCCGCAGCGAATTGCAGTGCCACTCACGTTTTCAGCAAAATGTTCTCGGGCTTGAGATCGCAGTGGATAAGGCGGGCTTCATTGAGAACGGTCAATGAGTCGAGCAACTGAGCTGTGAAGACGCGCACGAGGCTCGTGCTCAAGCCCTTAAAGCCGTTCTGCTTGATGAGCTCGTACAAGTTGGACGAGAGCAGCTCAAAGACCAAGCAGAGATGTTTGGCGTGGATAAAGGTGTCCCGCAACCTCAGAATGTGATGCTCGTCATTCGGATCCCAGCTTCCATTGAGCTAAAGTTTGTTCGTGATCAATGCTCAGACGTCAGCGCACATATCGTAGCGAGATCGCGAAGTCACACGCACCATCTCCAGAATCGTCACTTCCATCATGCTCTGACTGAAGTAAGCAGGCTTGTTCTTGATCACCTTGACAGCCACAATTTCGTGCGTCTTCATGTTCTGGCACTTGACAACCTGTCCAAATGTGCCTTGGCCTAACACATCAAGGATCAGGTATCTGCGCCATCACGTGGCCCGAGTAGGTGCGAAGGGACATCAGCACACTCCAGGCACTCTGCACGCTCTGGCGCTTGCAGCTCACCTGTTGCCTTCGTCTGCACCAAGAAAGTCATTGACGTAGAGGATGTAATCGCTGTCCTCGTTGTCCATTCCGTCATTATGCATAGGCTTGCTTGGCTTGGTCAAGACTCGTCTGGGATTAAACGACAGCTCGTAGACAAAAGCTGGATTGACCAGATGATAGGTGTGATGCAGGTATGTTGTTACCGCTTTGAGCGGCTGTGAGGAGTAGGGATAAGCAGATTTCAGCTCTCATTCGGGATCAGACAGACTCTTATCTAGAACCGCTGAACTGGACCTCAATGTTCCTCGATCGCCTCGCCTCGCGCCGATCGACGCCTTCTCAAGACTCACGCTGACATGACCACCTGCAGGATCAGCTCTTCGACCAGCCCCTTGCTGCGCAACCTGCAAGCTGGGTCTCAAATCACCCAACTCTCTGACCTTGCGGAAACCCTCCTGAGGTGGTCTTCGGTGTGACGGCTTCGCCGCCGATCCCACAGATTGCCTCCATTCCCTTCCCTCCGTTGCACCAGGAGCAAAGCTAGATGCGACCATACTTGCCCGTCTATCCCTTTCGGCCGATGGCAAGACGTAAGAACCAGCTGAGCCTGCTGGAAGTGCGTTACGGGGAGGACCTGCGGAAGCGTGCAGCGGCTGATAAGGGCTCTGCATCGCTGGACTCATCGTGCTGTGCACCTGTGATCCAGGTGAAAAGGCATAAGGTAGGCTGTCGGTTCCTGAGCCAGAGCCGGACAAGTGATGCAAGGGCAAACCAGAACTGGACCCATCATGCGTGGCCGTTCTCAGTCCTGATCTTCCACTACTTGTCGACGCGTGCAGAGGTGAATATCTTTGAGATGGGCTAGCGCCAGAGGTGTCCGTGAACGCGCTACGAGGCGAGCTGCCGTACGTGGACGAGTCGAGCATGCTCACTGGCCGCTGATGTAGCGAGGACTGATGATGCGCCACTTGTTGCTGGGGATGATAGGGCGCGCTCGGACTCAGATTGCCATGAGCTGCAGTTGACGGCGGTGCGTATGGCGATCTGAGTGCTGCTGAAGCCGGTGAGCGCGACATAGGTGGCTGCGCAGCGTACGTATGACTCGCATTGGGAGATGTCTCGAACATGGAGTTTCTATGCGGGCTATACGGACTGCTCAAACTGCCCGATTGTATTTGATTGCTGATGGTGGGAAGCAAGCTGAGGCCAGAAGGTCCACCAGACTGCGCATGCGCGGGAACACCATACGAGGTGGACCCCTCCGAGTAGGACGGCTGAGCATGTTCTCTTGATCTGTGATACCCTCCTCCCGCATCGCCATAGCTCTGCTGGGAAGCTGGGCTGGACGCAGGCATTTGCTGATGTATGCCGTGCTGTGACCCTTGCTGCCCGTACTGTTGTTGCATTGTTTGCGCTTGCCTCTGCTGTTGGTAAGCTGCGTGGCCAAGAGACTGACTTCGCCCCAAATTGGCCCCGCTGCTGCCGCTGCCGCTGCCGCTAGAAGGTGCCAAACCTGCGCCCAGACCTCCCGCTTGAGCAAGTCTTGGTGAGGCATAGGTCGCCACATTGTTCGAGCCCACAGGCGAGGTCGCGCTGAGTGCGCTCAGCGTGTCCATTCCATAGGGAGCTCCTCGAGGGCTTGTGGACTGGACGTCACGAGGAGCATACTGCGAATTGTGGTGCATCGGTGAGAGTTGCCGATGAGAAGTAGCAGCCACAGCAGCGCTGTGATGCGAGGGTAGCTGCCGCGATGGATCCACCCCTGAAGGACCCATGTTGATGATGTGCTGCTGTTGCTGGCCCCCAGGAGAGAAGTCTTCAGGTCCACCGTAACCAGAGTGAGGTCGAGCCATGGTAGCCGACAGGAGGGTTGTAGGAGCAAACGCTGAGAGCGAGGAAGCTTCGCGGGTCGCGCCGTGCTGGACTAGACTCCTGGGCTGGTTGCGTAGAAGGGAGCTGCGAAATCGCGATGCCCACAGCCAGCCAGCCGTTCAGCGTTCAGCTCGCTGACGGGACTCGCTCGACGCGCAGGCGGAGTCTAAAGCGACCCACGGACCTTGGCCGCTCGCTGTGTTTGTCGCTCCTGACCCGTTCGTTGATTGCTGAGCGCGCCCAAGTCGTCCCAGATAGCAGCGTCGCGCGAAGATTGGCAGCAACGCTGGCTGCCGTGTCTGAGGTGTCGAGACTGGAAATGCAAGCTTCTCAGGACGATGGTATGATCTTGCTGAGACGTGGGAGCGCGAGTGGATTGATTTCAGATTGATTGGTGGAAGCGCCGCCCCTTCTCTGGCTGCCTCACAGCAGCGAGAGTACAGTAGGCACAGACAGGCACAGACCAAGCAGTCCGACTGCATCACGGATTCGCCTTCCCTTGACAGCCAAACCTGATGCTGCGTGCGCATCTGTGCGCTATGCGCGTCCAGCAGCAGCAGCAGCAGCAGCAGCAGCAGCAGCAGCATCAGCAGCGCGAGACGACGAGAGGCATTCGTGAGTCACGCACGAGTCACGAGTATTCTGTTTGTGCTGCATGATGGTTACCGTACGTGCTGCATGCACCCGCGATCCACGCGCGATCGAGCTTGCGTGTGGTCGTGCGGTGCACCGCACATGCGCGGCGTTTATGCATGCAGCAGCGGCCGCAAAGTTGTATCAAGAATGAAGGGCATTTTGCTCCAGGCTTGATATTTGTAACGACCATTTCGTGCAGGCGAGGCGCGGAGTAATACAAGGACCCAGATGATAGCGTTGCAGTCTGCAAACAGTCAAGGGCGAGGAAAATGAGAATTGATTTGTGACGCATCGTGTTTCTCCTCGCGTTTCTAATCGCACGCCGTCTGCGCTACCTGTGATCTCTCGTACGACTCACTGCCACCGCCACAAAAATTTGGGCTCGTGAGCGATGCTCAGAACGCTTTCTTGGGCCTCTCCAAGTTCGCGAGTGACAATAATAATAGGCTCACATGATCTGCCATCTTGCAACAGCTTGAGACCAGACTAAGTCGATCCGGGGTGCAAGATGACTCGCTACACCTCAGGCGTCTCGGATGCCTCACACGGCTCCAAGAAGCGGAAAATGTTGCCCACCGCCACGCCTGCCGAAGAGCGGTTCGCAGCTTCTTCATCCACCAACAACATCACCATGGGGGATAGTGCTGCGGAAGGCGAAAGCAAGACTGGAAGCAAGCGTAAAAGAAGGCGGACGAAGAGCGGCCAGAACGAGTCGACAGCGGCTCGAGTACCCCGACCATCCGTTCCTGTGGACCTCTCCAAGCTATCCTCCAATGACCTGCAGAAGCGTCTAAAGCTTGTTCGATTGCGAGCAAAGAAGGCCAATACGGATGAGAAGAGGGCAGCGCATGAGTCTGCTATTCATGAAGTTGTGAGGGCTATACGAGCGGCAAATGGTCGAGCTGGGAAGAAGGACGCCCGACTAGAGGAAGTGACTTGGAAGGACAAGAGAGCAGACTCGAAGGGCGGCGAGTTTGCCGCAAGGAAAGGAGCAGCGACCTCGCATGCACCAGATGACGAGAAAGGAAATCCATGGAAGAAGATGGAGGCCGGTGAGTGCTGCGATTCTAGTGATAGCTCACCAGAAAAGCTTACGCGTAGCTCACGGTCTACACTGCGACAGATCGACGAGCAGACGCCTCAGCAAAGAGCGATGCTCGCAGAGACAAGCGGGCGGCAGAGCGAGCTTCAAAGCAGCGATGCTATGCGTGTAGAGGTATGGGACACTCGGCGAAGGACTGTCCGTCAGGTCTCAATGCGGAGAGTAGCGCACTCGACGGAGATTTGCCTGTAGAAGGCGATACAGATGGGAAAGCCAAAGTGACGGGCAAAGAGACTGTCGGTATTTGCTTTAGGTGTGGCAGCACGGAGCATACACTGGCCCGGTGTAGGAAGGCAGCGAAACGCAACGATGAAGGCGAAGAGCAGCTGCCATACGCCACTTGCTTCATATGCAGTCAAAAAGTGAGTATCTCTGTCGGCTGTTCCCACAGACAGCGGCTGCTGCTTACACTTTGTGGGACTACCGTGTAGGGTCACTTGTCCTCTAAATGTCCCAAAGGCAGAGGCGTGTACCCCTCAGGTGGATCTTGTCGTCTGTGCTCATCCACGGAACATCTAGTCAAAGACTGTCCACTCAGCATACGCAAGAGCGGCAAAGGAGCAGCCGAACTCGGTCTCGCGGCAATCGGTGGTGCTGATTCAGGCGGCCTGTCCGCCACCGGTGGTGTCCAAGATACAGGAAGTCTTGGAGCAGATGAAGATGACTTCCATCACTTTTCCAGACAGAGAAGCGACGTGGAGCGCGAAAGATTGCAAGAACATCGAAAGAAGGTCTCTCGCGCACCCCAAGAGAAGGAAAAGAAAAGCGCAAAGGTCATTGCTTTTTGATGCATACAATGTGATTGGATTCGCTACATCTCTGCAGCGCACTGATTGTGCGAGCAATTCGTGTGCAATTACCGAGACCAGAATGTAGTTGCTATGCCTGAGCCTCTGGTCCCGATTCACCAAGCGTCCAGCGCCTCAAGCCCACCACTTGCACCTGCTTCCCATTTCTCTGCCGACCCCAAGCATGAAGTGCTGCCTCCACATCCCCTTCGCCTGCTCCATCCTGTACTGCCAGCTGCGCAGCTGGGAGAAGCATACTGAAAGGCTGTCTCAGAAGCGCAGAATCGGCTTCCTGATCTTGTTGGTGCGAGATGGACGTGGTTTGAAAGCCGACCGCTTGTCGTGCCAAGGATCTGAGCAGCGCTCGAGTTTGAGCGGGATCGAGCCCTTCGAGGGCGCTAGAAGAGTTGGCAGAGGAAGATGCGTGGCTGATGGTGGACAGCACCAGTGCGCCTACGCGACCGAGGGACGTCTGTGTGCTGCCTTGCTTCGTCGCGCTCGATCCGTGCACATATGATCCAACCAGGTTTGCCACGCGCACCTCGTCTCGAGATGTGGAAGGAGGAGTCAGGATGAGCACGCTGGCTCGACTCAGATGTATTCTCTCTCCCAGCCTAGACACTGCATCCAAGATTGCAGCTCGAATGGTTCGAGGCGATGTGGGAGCAGTAGAGGATGCGGTTTGGTCACTGTCGACGCTCGCAGAGTCGGGTGCCTCCATCAGAATGAAGTCGAGCAGCTGCTCTGTATCCAAGTCCGCAAAGCCCGTGCCTAGCCTTGTAGCAGCAGCCAGGTTGGGAGCGGACACAGCTCCGCCGAGGTTTGGGAACAAAGCA